ATTCTCCCACTCTCCAGAATCTGTTAGTTCAATCTCTAACGTTCTGCTCTCTCTGCTTTTTCTCATAGTAGCTTCACGTCTTCTGCTCCTGTTTGGCTGTGATTCCAGCCTGGAGAGAAATACCAGCTGTGCTGCTGCCATCAACACCTTTGTTTATAGATGTTGGAGATTGGCCTGTTTTTCAGTGTAGTCCTGTTTCTCTGACTGTGACTGGCTGGATGTGCGCAGAATCTTACTCAGCCTCGGCAGATGGCCGCTCACACTGAGCCTGGTTCTGGTGGAAGTTTCTTCCTGTTAAAAGATAATTTTTCCTCTCCACTGTCGCTACAAGTATGCTTAATGTGAGGGATTGCATTCGAGTCAATGAGTAGATGGAATCAACTGGTTTTCCTCAGATAGAAAACTTTGAACCAAACTGACTGTATGACCTGGTGAACTGCCTTGAGATGACGTGTTGTGAATTGGCGCTATAGAAATAAACTGAATTGAATTCATCAGACATACAGTAGGACTCTGAGACATCAGCTTGCCTAAGCTTGTATGTAGGTTTTATTGATCTAACCAAGTGAAAAAAAAATTTTTTTTCAATTGGCAGGGTGGAGATTGACTAAGAAAAAATCTTTTCTATACCGCGACCATCTTTTGCAAAGTCATCCTTTTTACATTTTTCTTTGTAACTACAGGCCTACTGGAAACTCTGGTTAAAAAACTTTTTGAAAACATGAGGAAACTCTCTCCAGTTTACTTTTTAATTGTTTTGCTCCTGTTTCATCTTTTTGGAAAGTATTCCAAAGCTTGATTTAAAAACTGCAGAGAATTGTGACACTTTTGATTTTAGGTATACATTATGTATCAGATTAACAGAGAAAACTAAAGAAAAACAGAAAAAAAAGCTAAATAAACAGATATGAAGGTCAATGATCCCCACAACAAATAAAGGATCATGGTCACAGAGGTTTCATAGAATACAGAATACATTAAAGCTTCTGAACTGTTTCAGAGTACAACATGTAATCATGATGAGCTGGCTGCCCTCAACTAAGTTAAATAAAGGTTTGGTGACCTTTAATGTAGTCGGTTATGTTTTCACACTTGAATAACAATCACATTTGTGGTTTTGGTAGCACCATGCTGTATCACTCGATCTGCACTCGTTTGGTTTTTGCACATTCCGCCAACAGTGGGGATAATTCTCCATGCAGACTGTTAGATCTGAATGCTGGAAGCCCTACGCAGACAGAGAGCGGACTCTGAGGGAATGTCCTCCTTACTGATCTCGTTCCCTTCCAGTCGCAGCGTTTGCAGGTTGGAGAAATTCGTCACATCCACGATGGAGCAGAAACTTCCCAGACTGAACTCTGCAACCATAGGAGAGAGGGTGGGAGGTAAGGTTACACAAACGAGCCGAAAGTGTGAACCCACTAGATTAACAACAACAGTACCCAGACATGAACAATAACTTCTAAAGGTAACAAAAAATAAATAAATAAATCAGCAATTACAGTTAAAAATAACAATTTTAGGTTATTTGTGAACAATTGCTTAAAGTGTATGGAGTTAGTTTGTTCGATTATTGTTGCAAGTGAAGAACACAGTGTTTTCGTAAGCTGAAATTTTAAATAAATGCAACCCTAGAAAGGAAAATTTGAAAATATAATTAATCAAATAAAGGGTTTAAAGCTAACTTTACTATTTTCTTAGTTTTTTTTTTATTTATTTGAAAATTTTTATTTTTTTTTTTGCAATTTTTAAACAGGTTTTCTATTTCTATTTTTCTTTTTTTTCCCTCTTAGATTGTGTTTTCCCAAGTTTATAGTTTTCAAATTGCAGTTTACAGAAAATAATCTCTTTTCATTCGGCGTAGGTTTTCCTATGGAGTTAGAAGGACAGATGCATTTCTATTGGTTTGCACAGTGTTGGATTTAAAGTCCTGTTCTCATCTTAGTTCATTAAACTTCATGTAGACATATTAGCATAGTGAGATTTTTAATAATTGTATATATAATTATGTGAGGAAATGAATGGAATATGATCTCATGTGTTTTGTATCAGTCCCAGGCCCATGCAGCTGGGGTTTTATGGCTGATTGTTTTACAGCACTGCAAACGCCTCTGATTTAGGTTATGTTTACAAGATTTATCCTGACTCTGTATGGAGCTGTGACTGAGGGAAACGGAGAGGATTTCGATAATATAAAGGAGAAGCTCCAAGCTTTTTAAATTGTGAATTTGGATACTGTGAGTCAGATCACATTGTTGGGCTGTTGTCACTACTTTGTTTTGAAGCATAAGATCTCTGCAAAGATCTCTGTATGAACAAAAGTGCTTGTTTTTAACTCTGCTTTGGTTGTTGTGCATGACCTCAAACAAAAACACAGAAGACATAGGATATCTCTTCAACAATAGACGTTAACAACAACATTTTAATTGGTCAATGTGTGCATGAAGAGCAAGCATTTGAAGTGAATATGATCTGTGACACGCAATTGGAAACGAATGCAAGATCTGTGAAAGTCTGAAAAACTGAAATTTGAACAAAAAAGAAAACTTGAAAAATGTATTTAGAAAAATCTAACATTAGATTATATAATATCGTTATATAATAACATTTAAAAAGATAAGATCTTATACCTGAAAAAATATTGGAAATAACAACAAAGTTACTTTTAAAACTTTTTTTTAATTATATATGTATATTTTTTAAATATATATGTACATTTAGTTAGCAGTTTGTAACATTGTTGCCTTGCATGTCTCCCTGTGCATGCTTGGGTTCCCTCCGGTTGCTCCGGCTTCCTCCCACAGTCCAAAAACATAACTGTTAGGTTAACTGGTGTCTCTAAATTGTCCTCTGGTGTGTGTGTGTGTGCATGGGTGTGGGTCTCTTTGTTGCCCTTTGACTAGCGACCTGTCCAAGGTGTACCCCGCCTTTTACCCATATGTAGACTGCCGGAGATAGACACCGGCCCCACCGTGACCCTGGAATAAGCGGGAGAAAATGGATGTGTGGAGAAATAGAAATTCACCAGAAAAAAATTCGATTTTTTTTGGTGTGCAAAATTTCATTTTTGAAACATGTACTTTGCTTGCAACTATGATGGAACAACTTTCACTCTATAGAGAAGCTCTTTACCTTTGATCTGATTGGCTTGCAGGTAAAGATGCTGCAGTCTGGTGCTAACAATGGGGATTCTCTCCAGTTTGTTGTAGCTCAGGTCCAGCTCCACCAGTCCGGTTACATTAAAGGTGTTGGATGGGATTCCCTTGTCTGTCAGTTGATTGTGGGACATCCTTATGTACTGTAGCTGAGCTAATCCCCCCAGGAAATCGTCGGGTAGAGAGTTAATGGAGTTGAACTCAAGGTAAAACTGGTGCAAATGTTCAGGAAGAGCATCTGGGACCTGGAGCAGGTAAAAATAAAAATAATCTTGCATGGTTTCAAAAATAAACAAGATAATTCAAAGAAAGCAGGATATAAGATAATTTCACTGAAAATAAAAAGTTAAAAAGCAATTTAAGAAAGAACAATTTAATGTCAGACTTTAATAGCAAGCTGCGCTAAATCAATATATACACCGCCAAAGTCTAATAACAGCTGCATAAAAAAAAGGAAAGTGTTCAAATAGCTCTTGTAGTGGCGATTGTTTGTCAAACCAAACATCAAGTAAAAACCCACCTGTGGATCAAGTAAAAAAACACCCTGTGGAACAAGTAAGGACTAGTCCATGGACAAGTTTAGTCCATGGACTAAGCCCATGGACTAAAAGGAATACCTCTGATGCAGGAAAGACAAAAATGGACAAGAACTGAACAATGTCTCACTCCTGGAGATGTTGTCTTAATTGCAGACTCTACAGCTCCAAGAGGAACACGGATGATGGCCAAGGTCCTGAGTGTAAACCAGGATGCAAAAGGCTTGGTGCACTCTGTGCGATTACAAACAACCAGCATTCTCGAAAGACCCGTGACCAAACTTTTTTTGCTACTGGAAGCATCAACCTGAGGAATTAAGGACATGTTTGAGGGAATAGCTCCTTTTTCTTTATTTTTAATTGTGAAAGTATTCACAATTAGGTGCCGGAGTGTTGGAGCCATTTATACCGATACCGATACCATAATAATGTAAAATAATTGCCATCATGGCTTTGTCAAGCTGCTGCCTACCTTTGTGAAGCAGGAAAAAATCTAATACAAAGTGAATCCAGTAGAACTTTTTATTGCCTACCAGGAGTGGGTGACAATAGTTGAATAAACTTATGGCTCTCAAAATGGTATCGGTGC